TCATTAAATCTCGGAGGTCCGCGCGAATTCCGCGGATCGGCGCTGGACCCCCCCCTCCTTGGAGCGCGGGGCGCGCCAGGGGCGGCGCCGGATGCGCCGCCGGGGGGGCCCAGCGCGGATCCGAGAACTCCGCGCGGACCTCCGAGATTTTGATGTTTATGTCGTTGTTCGTTCCCCTAGTATGCGGCGCGCCCAGGCGGGGACCGGCGACATGCAGAGCGGCCCTGGCTCATGAGAGACCTCCGATGCGCGCGGCTTCAGGTGGCCGCATGGGGCCCGGACGCAAGCGCACAGGCCGCTGATGCCCCATCGCACCCAGCGATCGGGGGACCTCAGTAGAGGCCACTCTGGCGAATAGTCACTCTTGCGGTCAGGTCGGGCATGTCCCAAGCAGATCTTGGAAGAACAATGAAAAACAACAAATAATTATCCCGGCAAAGCAACCCAACAGCGATGTGTAGGAGCATGTCTGGAAGCATTCCCCTTAAGATTCGGATGAGAATCCAGTTGTAGAATTCTGCTGTTCTCGCAGTCGTGGTCGCATTCGCGATGACAGTCGCAGTGGCAACGGCAGTCGCAGTCACAGTCTCAGCCTCAGCCTGCCTCAGCCTCAGCCTCAGCCTGCCTCAGCCTCAGCCTCAGCCTGCTTCAGCCTCAGCCTCAGTCTGCCTTCAGCCTCGGCCTCAGCCTCAGCCTGCCTCAGCCTCAGCCTGCATCAGCCTCAGCCTCAGCCTCAGCCTGCCTCAGCATCAGCCTGCTCAGCCTCAGCCTCAGCCTGCCTCAGCCTCAGCCTCAGCCTGCCTCAGCCTCGGCCTCAGCCTCAGCCTCAGCCTCAGCCTCAGCCTGCATCAGCCTCAGCCTCACCCTGCATCATCAGCCTCAGCCTCAGCCTGCCTCAGCCTCAGCCTGCCATCAGCCTCAGCCTCAGCCTGCCTCAGCCTCAGCCTCAGCCTGCTTCAGCCTCAGCCTCAGTCTGCCTTCAGCCTCGGCCTCAGCCTCAGCCTGCCTCAGCCTCAGCCTGCATCAGCCTCAGCCTCAGCCTCAGCCTGCCTCAGCCTCAGCCTGCCTCAGCCTCAGCCTCAGCCTGCCTCAGCCTCAGCCTCAGCCTGCTTCAGCCTCAGCCTCATTCTGCCTTCAGCCTCGGCCTCAGCCTCAGCCTGCCTCAGCCTCAGCCTGCATCAGCCTCAGCCTCAGCCTCAGCCGGCCTCAGCATCAGCCTCAGCTGCCTCAGCCTCAGCCTCAGCCTCAGCCTCAGCCTCAGCCTCAGCATCAGCCTGCCTCAGCCTCAGCCTCAGCCTGCCTCAGCCTCAGCCTCAGCCTGCCTCAGCCTCAGCCTCAGCCTCAGCCTCAGCCTGCCTTCAGCCTCAGCCTCAGCCTCAGCCTCAGCCTGCCTCAGCATCAGCCTGCCTCAGCCTCAGCCTCAGCCTGCTCTCAAGCCTCAGCCTCAGCCTCAGCCTCAGCCTCAGTCTCAGCCTCAGTCTGCCTTCAGCCTCGGCCTCAGCCTACAGCCTCAGCCTGCCTCAGCCTCAGCCTCACCGCCTCAGCCTCAGCCTCAGCCTCAGCCTCACCTGCCTGCTTCAGCCTGCCTCTCCAACCTTCACCTTGGCCTCAGCCTGCCTCAGCCTGCCTCAGCCTCAGCCTGCCTCAGCCTCATCCTCAGCCTGCCTCAGCCTCAGCCTCAGCCTCAGCCTCAGCCTGCCTCAGCCTCAGCCTCAGCCTCAGCCTCAGCCTGCCTCAGCCTCACTCAGCCTGCTCAGCCTCAGCGTCTGCCTCAGCCTGCCTCAGCCTCAGCCTCAGCCTCACTCAGCCTCAGCCTCAGCCTCAGCCTGCCTCAGCCTCAGCCTGCCTCAGCCTCAGCCTCAGCCTGCCTCAGCAGCAGCCTGCCTCAGCCTCAGTTGGCTAGCATTCAAAATGTGGCCCGGGAATGGAGTTCTGGGAACTCGAAGAGCACGAAGTGGCCTACAGTTGGCTCCGGGCATTCAAAATGTGGCCCGGGAATGGAGTTCTGGGAACTCGAAGACACGAAGTGGCCTACAGTTGGCTCCGGGCATTCAAAATGTGGCCCGGGAATGAGTTCTGGGAACTAGAAGAGCACGAAGTGGCCTACAGCTGGCTCCGGGCATCCAAAATGTGGCCCGGGAATGGAGTTCTGGGAACGAAGACCACGAAGTGGCCTACAGTTGGCTCCGGGCATTCAAAATTGCCCAGGAATGGAGTTCTGGGACTCGAAGACCACGAAGTGGCCTACAGGTGGCTCCGGGATTCAAAATGTGGCCCGGAATGGATTTCTGGGGTCGAAGAGCACGAAGTGTGTGACTGTTTGCGAAAAACGAATTCGGACACGAGTCGGAACACACTCCCCGATGCCGCCCAGACCCTCTGTGGGTCATCTGCTGCTCTCTCTTGACACCACTAGAAAACCTTCATCTTCGCTGTTAGGTAATCAATAACAATGTCAAAAAACAACCAGACATGTGCGTTTTTAACCAAATTATCCCGGCAAAGCAACCTAACAGCGATGTGTAGGAGCATATCTGGAAGCATTCCCCCTTAAGATTCAGATGAGAATCCAGTTGTAGAATTCTGCTGTTCTCGCAGTCGTAGTCGCATTCGCGATGACAGTCGCAGTGGCAACGGCAGTCGCAGCCACAGCCTCAGCCTCAGCCTGCCTCAGCCTCAGCCTCAGCCTGCCTCAGCCTCAGCCTGCCTCAGCCTCAGCCTCAGCCTGCTTCAGCCTCAGCCTCAGTCTGCCTTCAGCCTCGGCCTCAGCCTCAGCCTGCCTCAGCCTCAGCCTGCAGCCTCAGCCTCAGCCTCAGCCTCAGCCTGCCTCAGCCTCAGCCTGCCTCAGCCTCAGCCTCAGCCTGCTTCAGCCTCAGCCTCAGTCTGCCTCGGCCTTCAGCCTCAGGCTGCCTCAGCCTCAGCCTTCAGCCTCAGCCTCAGCCTCAGCCTGCCTCAGCCATCAGTTCCTCAGCCTCAGCCTCAGCCTGCCTCAGCATTCAAAATGTGGCCCGGGAATGGAGTTCTGGGAACTCGAAGAACACGAAGTGGCCTACAGTTGGCTCCGGGCATTCAAAATCATGCCCAGGAATGGAGTTCTGGGAACTCGAAGAGCACGAAGTGGCCTACAGTTGGCTCCGGGCATCCAAAATGTGGCCCGGGAATGGAGTTCTGGGAACTCGAAGAGCACGAAGTGGCCTACAGTTGGCTCCGGGCATCAAAATGTGGCCCGGGAATGGAGTTCTGGGAACTCGAAGACCACGAAGTGGCCTACAGTTGGCTCCGGGCATTCAAAATGTGGCCCGGGAATGGAGTTCTGGGAACTCGAAGACCACGAAGTGGCCTACAGTTGGCTCCGGGCATTCAAAATGTGGCCCGGGAATGGAGTTCTGGGAACTCGAAGAGCACGAAGTGTGTGACTGTTTGCGAAAAACGAATTCGGACACGAGTTCGGACACAGCTCCCCGGATGCCGCCCAGACCTCCCTGTGGAGTCATCTGCTGTTCTCTTTTGAGCCTACTAGAAACCTATCAGCAAAAACTGTTAGGTAAAAGCGTCCCACTACTTTTTGTTTGGGGGGGCTATTCCTGAATCTTTCGCATGTAGAGGGGCATGGCCGACTTAATCTCATGTGTGGCCGAGGGCCCCAAAACAGTCCCCCAGAGGCCTCCAAACTGCCTCGGCCAGGCCCCCGGAAAAGCTTCTCACGAGATCCCAACGAGCATTCAATAGGCCTCTGAACCACGACCCAGGCACGGTGGCAAGATGGGCCGAAGGCCACTAGATATTAATACAAGCACGAGTCACGCAGAACCCAGAAGCGGCAACAGCGACTCTCCCCCAAGGGGTCGGCGGTGCGGCGTAAGCCGAAGAATCCACCTCCGGAAGTGACGTGCTGAGCGGCAGCGTTTTCCGCGGATGCTGTAATGCAATGGATTTAGTGTGTCCAATGTTTGAATCATTGCCGCATATTGTGTTGTGTTGCATTATTATGTCTCCCACCCTACCCCCCCCCCCTGGGAACTGCGCCACAGGAGCGGACCAAAGTGGCCCCCCGCTTCCCGGGGCCCCAAAACCTACCAAAACCTATAGCACACCTATGATTTCGACCTCTTGGGCCTCTTCGGGGGCCAAGAGGGCGCCAAAACAGCTCAAGATGGGCTCTGTGCGGGCCAAGACGGCCCCGAGATGGTCCAAGATGGCCCCAAGAGGGCCCCAAAAACCCCAACGACGGCCCAAGAGGGCCCCAAGAGCGCCCACAACTGCGCCTCCAGAGGCCAAAATCATTGATTTCCCGATGGTTTTGCAATATTTTAGCATTCTCGCCTTTGCTGCCCAAGCAGCTTCCCGAATCGCTCCAGAACAACCCAAGAAGCCCCCAAAAGGGCCCCAATACGGCCCAACAGAACCCCAAGACGGCCCAAAGAGGCCCCCAAGACGGTCCAAGAGGCCCCTATGACGGCCCAAGAGGACCCCAAGACGGCCCCAAGGCGGCCGCGAGAGGCCCCCACGACGGCCTCCGAAGGGGCGAAACGGCGCAAAAGCGCCCCAATACGGCCAAAGACGCCCCGAAGAGGCCCCAAGAGGCCCCCAAGAGGCCCCCAAGGGGCCCCAAGAAGCCCCCAAGAGGCCTCCAAGATGTCTTCAAGAAGCCTCCCAAAGGCTCCAAAGAAGCCCCCCAAAGGCCACACAGCGACTGGAGTGCAATGTCATTCTTCCAACCTGGGCGAACTGCGGCGCAGCGCCAGCCAGGTGGAAGTTGGTCACAGCGGCGCCCATGATTAGAGCTGGCGCTGGAAGGAAATATGGGGAGGGAGTATGAAAAGGAGGGAGGGGGGAGAGGCCCCAAAGAACTCCCCAAGAGGCCCAAGGAAGCTCCCAGGAGGCCTCCAGGAGGCCCCCAAGAGGCTCCCAAGAGGCTCCGCGACGACGTGACTGTACGTGCTCCGGACGTGCACCCCGCGAAGCGAGGGGAATCTTACGAGTGGCCGAGGGCTGCGAGCCTGCGCCAGCGACCCACCGCACGCACCGCTGCCGGCGGCGCGCGCGGCCGCGGCGGCGGCCGCCAGGGCGCCGCGCAGGGCGTCGGCGGTTGCGGCCGCATACTGCGCCTGGTGGGGGGGATGCCGCTCCTGAGACGTCTCCGCAAGAACCATTCCAGTCGGCCCGTATGATAAGGATGCGCGGTAAGGATGCAGCAAGGGAACGAAGAATGACATAAACAGAAAAACTCGAAGGTCCGCGCGGATTTCTTGGCTGTCGTTTTTCGCTCCCCCAGTATGGGGCGCTCCAAAGCGGGACTCGGCGACATGCCAAGAGTGACCCTGGGTCATGAGAGACCTCTAATGCGCGCGGCTTCAAGCGGCTTAAAGTTGCCCATCCTTACTATGCGGGTTGACTGTAGGTTCGCGCAGCGTCGGCGCGCGCAAAAGTATGTGCCCCCGCGTCGTTCGTTGAACTTTTACCGATCGCGGCCCCGAACGTTCAAGGTTGGATTCCGTCGGGTCCAATGGCCTTTCCGTGTCCCTCGGTGGTTCCGCGTCGCAGAATTCAACCTTGAACGCCTTCACCGGAATCGACGCCAAGGCCCCACGTACCTACCGTTCAGATTACTGTGCCCATTTAAGGAGCTATGACGGCGGGACTCGGCCGGATTCTGAAGCCCCTGGGTCCAACCAGACTGGGCGGGAGCAGGAAAAATGAAGAACGACTCTGCGAGATTGGACGAGCTTTCGGCCAAAGATGTATACCGGCACCGACGATACTGAATTCAACCTCCCAAGATGGAGAAACAAAAAAGTACCGATACCGCTACTCCCCGGACCTCTCCCGGGGCGCGTTCTGATCAGCATTCCGAGGCGAATCCAGCGGTGGCGACGAGCGTTCACAAGGAGGCCCAAAAAGGTGGCATACGGGCGAAGGGTAGCAGTATGGGCACGGCGAAAGGATTGGATGAGGGAACCTTTGATAAGGAATCCAGGGTCTGGAAGCCAGCGGCATTCCAACTGTGGATCGACCATGGTTATCGCAACCGCCCTCATAAGATAAGGAATCCTCCAGGGTCTGGCGCCTCCTGGGCACATTCCTCGACCAACGCCCCCACCGTACCTTCCCCTCCTCTGGCAAGAGCTTCATTCTTAGAAGAAGATAAAAACGGCATAAGCATCAACTTTTGGGGCTCCGCGCGGATTTCTTGGAGATCAGCGCTGGACACCCCCCTCCTGGGCGCGCAGATCGCGCCAGGGGAGGCGCCGGCCCGGGGGCCCCAGCGCGGATCCAAGAAGTCCGCGCGGAGCGCCAAAAGTTTGCGAAAACGACGCGACCGCAGCGCGCGGTATGCGGTGCGCGGTGCGCGCGCGGGCAGTGCGCGCCGTGCGCCCAGAAGCGGTGCGCGTGGCGAATGGATTCTGGCGTGCAGGGGGGCGCTGCGCCGAGCGTCGCCGAGAGCTCTGGGAGCCAGCTCGAGCTCGAGCTTTTGTGGGGGCTGGGTGGGTGGGTGGGTCCGCTGGCACATAACATAACATGTCGCGCGCACTACGAACAGCATACCTACACGCCAAACAACAAGCGCTGCTGCAACGGGGGTGGGTGAATCGGGGGGCGCTATGTTATCTACTGGGTGGGCGGGTTGGTTGGAGGCCACATAACGCGCGTTATGTGCTCGACAGCTCCTCTCTTGGAAGGTCTTCGCGCTTGCGCAACAAAGGGACCCCCAACCCTTCAGGAGAGTAATTGAATTCCCAGACCCCCTCGGAACATGACAGAATCATAATGGGAAATTGTTCCGTACACTCGGCCTCTGGAGGCCCTTACCGGCCCTCGGGACCGTCAAATAACGACTCAGAATGGAACACCGGTCCAGGGAATGCGTCGAGGTGTCTGATGGTCGGCGTTATGACAACATCATGACGCCGGGGGTCTGGGGAGTTAGGAGGGGCAAAGCAGTATGGATATGGGTATGTTTTTGTTGCAGATGTACCGAACCAAACCGCACAAATGCTCTGTCCCTGATGCAAAGATGGAGACCCAAGTGCCGCCACGTCTTCACAATGCTATTAGGGTTACGGGTTATTTTATCCTCGATGGTTCGTCAACACGATAACGGGCTAGTCAGTCCGATGAAGGAGCCACGAAGCCGGATAAGGTCACATCGAGCCCGTTATGAGGCCAACTGAAACCCGGGATTAAACCGGATTCAGTGGGACTAGGCTGGATGACGCGGGAGTGAGGCAGCTTAGGCATGTGCTCGATCAGTGGTATATTCCAGCGCTGATTACGAACAACTGTTCAAACAATGAGCAATTATCAACCATAGTAGAAAGATCGTCCCCACACTATGTTTTGACTAGTTTTGAATGTTCCTCCTAGAGGCACGTGCTCGACTTAAGTCTAGCCTCCCAGGAGCCGCATCCGAAAGAGAGGGCCCAAGCACCTGAGGGTACAGAACAGAGGTAAGCAAAGGGCAGCAAGCGGATCTCGGCTGAGCCCAACTCGGCGGCGAGCGAGGGGAGGGGAGTGAGAAGGCGACGGCCTTCCTAGAAGGCGGCGGGACTCCTCAGAAGCCCTCGCGCCTTCCGAGAAGTTTGTTGTCTGAAGAAGGTCTCAGAAGGTCGGGGGACACCCGAACCTTCCGAGAAGGCCTTCTCCTTCTCTCGGGTCGGGCGAAAGGGGGGGATAGCAAAGGGGGGGTTGAGAATCAGCTCACGTAGCTGACTTTCCTGGCGCCTCCCGGCGCCGGGAGGCGACTATGTATCGAGGAATGGGCCCCTCGGTGGGGCCGAAACCAGCTGCATGCAGCAGATTTCGTAACCCCTCCTTTCCCAATCCCCTCCTTTCGTCTGGCCCGATTCTCACTTCCCCCTCTCGCTCGCCGACGACCAACGATCTCCGGCCCGCCGGGTGCGATGCCCCCCCGAGAGGGCAGAGCAGCGCGACCTCCGCGCGAGGGGTCGTCTGGGCGGGCGCCTCAGAGCGCACAGCCGAGAGCTCGGGGCTGTGCAAGCCCTCACTGCAGGGCCCATCCAAAGGTGGGTCGGGAAATGGACTGTTGCCTGACTCCCGTCGTCGTCGGCCCGCGCCAGGGGCGGCGCCGGAGGCGCCGCCAGGGGGCCCCAGCGCAGACCCAAGAAATTCGCGCGGAGCGCCAACAGTTCATGTTGATGGCGATATCAAATCGCCACAGAGCCATATCGCCGATATGGCTTTAGGGGGCTCGGTCTTTGGTTCTTCGACCTTTGGCGATGTGGTTTTTGGTTCTTGTCTGTAGTCTTTAGGGGGCTTTGGCTTTTGGCTCTTGTTTATGGCGATCTGGCTTCCTCGACCTTTGGCTTCGCGGCTTCCGGGGGCCGCGGGGGCCCGACGCCAAGCGCGCAGGCCAGTGCTCGGGGCACCATCCCTCTGGAGGAGAAGGAGACGGGGACCCTGACAAAGACTGAACGTAGAAATGCCGTGCTCATCTTTGTCAGCGTCGATCTTGGCCAGCGTCAAACCGTGGACGATCCTCGCGAATTTGCCGCGGCCGACGTGGACCGTGACCAACCGATCGGCATCGGCAACACCCAGCGGCATCTTCTGTTGCCAGTGCCCGTGCTTCTTCCCTCGAGCCCCCGGGGGCCCGAACCACAAAGGCCACTCCGGCGAAGGATCCCTCTCACGAGCATAGGCCGAGCCAGCCCCGGCCAGCCTTAGGTCGGGCCTGTCCCCCTACAGGGGGATTTAGCAGGACAAATAAAACATACTCCATACATACTCATAGAAGATGCCCCCCCAAATGCTAAAAAAAAAAACGAGTCCCCTGACTATTTTCGGACCATTCTTGGACATTCCCCCTGTAGAGGGACGGGCCAACCTTATCAGGCCAGCCAAGGGATGCCTGGATAACAAGACAACGCATGTCTGGCATCCGAGAGTGCATCCCGTAGCGCAGCAAATAGCAAGTAAAGTACATGTCCCGTCGCCGAGACAGCTATACCTATATATATATATATATATATATATATATATCGTGCAGCCGGCAACAATCGATGCTATGACCGGCCGTGGGGAGCGCAACCTATGGCACGACCATCACAGCTCGCAGGGGGCGAGCGAGCGCGCCGCGGGGGGGCTCTGGGCGAGCACCCCCCCTCCTCCCGCGCGCTCCCGCCAGCTGCGCCGCGCCGCGTGCGTGCCCCCGCCCCCCGTGGCCGCTGCTCGGGCCGCGGGGGGGGGGGCCGAGGCCTCGCAGGCCCCCCTGGAGCAGCACCGAGAGAGAAGAGCGCGCGCCTTCCCCTGCGACTCGTGCGCCAGAGAGGAAGGAGCACGCTCTCCTGCGACTCGCGCCGGCGGCCGTTGCCGGGGTGCTCCCCCCCGCCCTCTCGGCGGTGGACAAAGCTCCCTTTCATGAACCTCCCTTCAGTGAAAACAGCCTGGGACCGAAACCGGTGGACCTGGACCCGAAAAAATGACGGCCGCGACGCCCTCTCGCGAACCGAAAACGGCCAATTTCTTAATCGACGTGTCAGGGTAGGAGTTCTGTCCACCCCCGACCCTCGCTCCCCCCCCCCCCGCCTGGTGACGCCACGGTTCGCGCGTTGCGCCGCCTGGGAATTGCCAGGGGCAGCTGCTGCACGGACGTTTTGCCGCCGCGGATCGTGGCGTTGCCACGGGTGGTCCTCAGAGCGCGTGTGGACGCCAACGTGTGTGTGTGTGTGTGTGTGTGTGTGCGCGTGCGTGCGTGCGTGCGTGCGTGCGTGCGTGCGTGCGTGCGCGTGCGCGCGTGCGTGCGTGCGTGCGTGCGTGCGTGCGTGCGTGTGTGTGTGTGTGTCGTTGTGCCTCGAGGCCCGTCAGCACCGCCTGGGCGACGCGCCACGGGCGCCGCCACAGGCTGCGCGCCACCGGCGGAGCCGAGCGATGTGTAAACACACGCTTGGGCTGGCACGCGTCCTGCGGATCTCATCGATCCCAGCCCTTAGTGGGCCCCGGAAACGGCAATGCCGTTTTGTCACCGTTTCCCCAAAAAATGTCCCTTGAAAATGGAAACAGCCCAAAAAACGGCGACCGGAAACGGCAACAAAAACGGCTCCAGGATTGGAGCCGGAGCCGGAAACAGACAAAAAACGGCGACGGAATCGGTAAAAAAAACGGCGTCGGAACCGGCAACAAAAATTGCAAAACGGAACCGGTAAAAAAGCGGCCCTGTCGTTTCCAGGGCCCGCTAAGTCCCAGCCGCCCTGATGGGGTCCGAGTAGAGGGGGTGGTCGGGGGATTGCACCGCATCGCCGACGCATCGGCGCTGCGTCGGTGATGCATCGGCGACGTCGGCGATGCGTCGGCGACGTCGGTGTGGGGGGTGGGGGGGGGGGGCAACACGGGCTCCACATCGAGCCGCATGGGCGATGCGTCGCCGGTGCGGCGCGATCCTCCGATCCCATCTGACCTCCGACCCCATCTAAAAGAAATCTAGACGCCCCCCCCCCGCCCGGTACAATGGAGGCCAGTCCACAAGAAACCGTCCACAAGAAGCCCAGCTCTGAGACCCCAGGCCGTTCATTGGTTTTTGGTGTGGGAACGCCGCGCCTTCCATCGCAAGGCGCATGACCATCGAGATCCAAGAAACCCAGGGCACCCTGGAGGCAAGCAGGATACTTCTTGCCATGGGCCTCCCCTGTGACGGCCGCCATCGCGAGGGGATGAAGACAAACTAGCCCGAAGTGAGGCGAGCCGGGGCGCGTGCCACAAAGCCCCTGGGCGCAACGCCAGGGGTGCTCGGAGGCGGGGGCGAAGGCCTGGGGCGTCCGTGTACGGAGAGCGATGGAAACCAGTATCGGGGGCAGGGATGGCGAGGGACGTTTGCCTGTCCTGCACGCTGCGATGGAAGCAAACTTAAGTTGAGCAAGGACCGACCGTCCCGGCAGTTCCATTGGCCTACCACGAAATGTTCTTAGAACGCAAGGGTGTTCTAAGAACAAAAAGCAACGTTCTCATGTTAAGATAACCTGATGTGTTAAAACAGGACAGTATCAGCCAAACATGTTCTCAGAACATCTCGCGCAGACCACAAAAGGATCTCAGAGCAGCCTCTGGTGGGCCTGTAGGCAAGCCAGAACGCTTCGCCACTGCTCGATGAGGGTGACGCCGCCGCTCGTGCTCCTCCCCTCCCCTCCCCCCTGTCGGAAGCTGGGCGAGGGCTGGCAAATCCGTGGCTGCTAAAACGGTCTTCCCGGAAGAAAGAAAAAACAGACTCCCGGAAGCAAGCTCCGCGCACTAAAAATAGTAAACGGGCTGCTCCCCGGAAGAACAAAAAACAACCTCCCGGAGCTCCGTTTTAGCAGCCCCGGGTTTGCCAGTCTTCGCCTGGCTTCTGACCCTGGGCGCAATGTCGGGAGCGGCCAAGAGGGGGGTGTCCAAGAGGGGGGGGTGCAAATCATGACCGGCGGCATGTGCACGGCCCAGCGGGGGGGCCAGGGACGTCATAAAATAAGAAGAGGCGCCACGAAATCTGGGGAGATCTCATGGCCCGCGCCATGATTTCCCCCCCCCCTAGTCATCACCCCCCTCTTTTCCGCCCCCGCCACTGGGCGAAGGCCCCGGGGGGGGGGCACCTGCAGCGCCGGGGCGGGGCTGAAGCCGCCGAAGAGCTCGCCGAAGACGACGCACTGCTGGCACCGCGAGAGCACGGGCAGGGCCTGCGGGCCGCGGGCCGTCGCCCCGCACGCCCACGGGCTCTCCGCGGGCGCGGGGGCTCCCGGGCCCGGAGCTGCATCGGCGGCGGGGCGGTCGACACTGACCACCTACCAGACCACCCCAACCCAACCCGAAGACCCGAATTTCGGGTTGGGGGGGGGGTAAGGGTTCCACATGTGTTTTTTCGATCTTTCCCGACCCCCCCCCACTGGAAATCGAGGGTCAATCTGAGCATTCGGGTTGGGTTGGGGTGGTTTGGTGGGTGGTGAGACACACGCCAGGCAATTTCTGAACGAGCGTGCTGATCACTTGGCCGATCGTGGTGCCCGTGGGATATGACGTAGCCCAGCTTGTGTTCCTCGCTGGGCGAGCTCCTGGAGCCAATGCGTGCCGTCCAGGTCAGGAGGCCCCTGATCTTTCTCATAGTCACGCGTGCGTGCATTTCACAGCCTCGCAGACTGCCGACGTTCCAGCCACCCCATCACTCTTATCCGCAACTGCAGGGATGCTACGATGGATTGCGCTGGCTCTGTACAACACCTCAACGCCCAAGGAGAGGCGGGGGGCTGCCGCCAACGAGAACGGACCATTCCCGGCGATGCGAAATATCAACCACCAGTGGCTTCAAGCAGAACGAACCCCTGCTGGGCTGGACTGGACCTGGGCGGGCTGGACAGGACTAGACTGGGCTGGCTCCGTCGCGCGGGCCTGGCTGGGCTAGCCGCGCTGGACTAGGCCTGACTTGACTGGTTTCACTGGGCTTGACTAGACTGGATGGGACAGAACTTGGATCGTTGAAATCGGACTGAACTGGTCTAGGTTGGGTTGGGATTCCGGGTCAACTAAAATGGACCTGCCTGGACTGTGCCAGAAAAAACGAAACTGGACTGGACTGGACTCGTCTGGACTGGACTGGCCTTAGACTGGAATGGACCAGGGGGAGTTCTTCAATGACAAGAGGGCCTCATGACGGCCCAAGTGGCCTCCAAGACGGCCCCAAGAGGGGCCCAAGACAGCCCAAGAGGCCTCCAACACGCCCAAGATGGCCTCCAAGACGCCCAAGATGCCTCCAAGACGGCCCCGAAGAGCCCCAAGAGGGCCCCAAGTCGGCCCAGAAAGGCCCCCAAGACGGCTCCCGACGGCGTCAGACGTGCCAGGAACCCACCAAGATGGCCGAAGTTGGCTCGAAGCTGGCCCAAGACGGCCCAAGAGGCCCCCAAGAGGGCCTCCAGGAAGGCCAGAAAAGGCAAACAACCTTGATTGTCCTATGGTTTTTGACGGACTCGCTTCTTTTCGGCCTTCCGAAGGCCCGAGACGGCCCAAGAGCTCCCAAAGATCGCCGAAAGATCGCCCAAGAGGCCTCCAAGATGGCCCCAGAACGGCCCAAGAGGGCTCCAAGACGGCCCCAAGAGGCCCCCAAGACGGCACAAGAGGCCTTTAAGACGCCCAAAATGGCCTCCAAGACGGCCCCAAGTCGGCCATAGAGACCCCCCAAACGGCTTCCGACGGTGTCAGACGGACCAGGGGCCCACCAAAACGGCCGAACATGACCCTCAGATGGCCCAAGACGGCCCAAGAGGCCTCCAAGAGGACCTCCAGGAAAGCCCGAAAAGGCACAAATCATTGATTTCTCACGGGCTTTTGAAGGATTGTGGCATTTGCTTTTTATATGCCTTCCAACGGCCCGAGACGGCCTAAATGCCCCCAAAGATCGCCCAAGAGGCCCAGGCCCAAGACATGGCCCCAAGAGGCCCCCAAGAGGCCCCCAAGACGGCCCAAGAGGTCTCCAAGACGCTGAAGATGGCCTCCAAGACGGCCCAAGAGCCCTCTAAGACGTCCTCCAAGAAGGCCCGAAAGGGTCAATATGGCCTCCAGACGGCCAAGATGACCTTCAAGATGCCCACGTGTTCCCCGAAGGCTTTCCAAACCGATTCGGGGAACACACGGTCCGATAGCTTGGCAAGTCTGGCCTCAACGTTCGGCCACATGGGCGCTTCCAAAAAGGCAGGGGGCGGCGGTGATTCGCCGTCGGCGTCTTCGATCCTCCGTCCCCTGTAGTCTTGCCACAGGGGCGCATGGCGTGCTAAGGTTCAATTGTTTTGGTTTGGCTTCGGCCGATGCCGCCGGCAACCCAGAAAGCCACCGAAACTTCGTGCCCCGTGCTCCCCATCGCACCCAAGACGGCCCAGATGGCCCTAGATGGCCTCCCAAGATGGTCCAAGATGGCCTCCAAGACGGACCAAGAGGGCCCAAGCTGCCTCCAAGCCCACTCAAAAAACCAAGACGGCCCGAGATTGCTCCAAAATGGCCCAAGACGACCCCAGAGGCTCCCCAAAGGCCTCCAAGACGGCTTGCAAGGCTTACGAAAGGGCCTCCAGGAAGGCCCGAAGAGGCAAACATCCGTGATGTTCCATGGGTTTTGAAGAATTGTGGCATTCGGCTGTCCGACGGCCCAAGACGGCAAGAAGCCCCCAAGATCGCCCTAAGATCGCCCAAGAGGCCTCCGGGATGACCCCAGAACTGCCCCAAAGGCCTCTAAGACGGACCCAAGGTGGCCTGAAGATGGCCCCAGAGACCTCCAACACGCTGAAGATAGCCTCCGAGACGGCCCTGAAGCACCTTAAGCGGGCCCCAAATCGGTTCAGAGAGACCCCTAAGACGGCTTCCGACCGCGTTTGACGTGTCAGGAACGCGCTAAGACGGCCAACGAGGCCCCCAAGAATCCCTTCAAGGCCCCTATGAGGCCCATGGAGACCCCCAAGAGGCCTCCAAGAGGCTCACAACAAGCTACCAGGAGACCCCGAGAGTGCCCCGAGAGGCTCCCAAGTGGTCTACTCCTCCTCCTTCTCCTCATCCTCCTTGTTCCGACCTCTCCTTCTCCCCCTCTTCCTCCCCCACATGTTCCCGAAGACCTTCCACGACGGCTGGGGCAACGCATGGTCCAATTGCGTGGCCAAACTTTGCCCAAACCTTTGGCCACGTAGGTGTATCCTCAAAGGCAGGGGACGGCGGTGATTCGCCGCAGACATCTTCGATAACTTCTACGACCGTCGCAAGTGCTCATTCATTTCAAGGGTCGGCGGAACTGCACATGACGGCTGAACAAGTCGGAAACAGCGCTAGAAATACTGAGTGCTGCTTGTGCCATCGGCCGTGCACACGCCACTGCATCAGTGTGTTGCTTCAGAGCTACACCTGCCAAACTCGGGGATACGTAAGCCTCGGGTACGAGGGACTCGGGTTGGCCTGACGGGACCATCATGACAATGACGCGGCCCAGCCTCAAATCATGAAAATGACGAGGCCCAGCCTGAACTCTGCCGCGACCTCCCGCTGCAAACATCCCGCGAAAACTTGACCGTCAAACTCCAAGACGGGCTCATCAAAACGCGTCGGCAAATCCGAATTCCGGCTTACTCGAGTCTTACGTTCCCTGACAAGCCAACGTAGGCACTCACCAAGTACGAATCGCACGGCGCGGACACTGTCGAACGGAAATAGGATGATTGAAAAGTTGTGAAGCGAGATGTCAAACAGTGCATGCTGGAAGGCAAAAGTGAACGCTTGAGACCCCGATTTAAAAACCTTCCTCAGGTCGTGACTCCAATCTTGCTGCTCGAGCAAGCAGCAGCTCGACGGTGCCGGGATCGGTCAGGTCAGTAGGGAACCGAACTCTATACACCAACGCTTTTTCCAGCCCTGCGCTGACTCACAAGAAGGCGGATCCTGGTGAAGACGGAGTCCTGGTGAAAATATTTGTCGCTGTCTCCCTGGGGGACCGAAGAAGCGGAGAAAAAGTAACTACACCACACCGCCCCGACGTCGCCCCCGACCCTCCAGAAGTCTTGGGATTGAATCGGCGACTACAAGGGGTGCCGTTTGCGAAGGTTGCGGTTTGCCTCCCGTCTGATCTGCCCCTCCCGCCCCCGGGAAACGGATGACACTGTCACTCAATGCGACCGAATCACATGACAGCGTCGCTCCTCGTAGTACCGTGGAGCACACATCGAAGATGACAGTGTCGCTCGAGACGACAACAGTCATGATATTGCCTCTCACCAAGGCCCCGGACAGGCCGCCACAAAGCAACTCGCAAACCGCACCCCCGCGTAACCGCACCGATTGTAGTTTGGGGGGCGGAAAGATACGGATACGTGTTGTCCCCGGACCTCTCTTGGGGTGCGTTCTGACCAGAATCCCACCAGCCCTTTGGGCGTGAGTGGTTTAGGGAGCTCTCTCTGTTCTCAACCCCCCTTCTTCCCCTTCGGGGAGGGGTTTACCCCTCCCCCTACCCCCTGGGCCTGGAGAGGGCGGCCCGCGGGTCGTTGGAGGGGTCTTTTTTCGACTCCTGGGAGGGCTAAAAAACGACACCCTCACGAGGATTCTGGCCCCGACGGGGGGAGGGAGAAAAAACCCTTTCCTCTTCTGTGAAGCCAGAATCATTGATTTTACTACGGTTTTGGCCCCATTTTGGCCTTCTGAGGGGGCAGCGCTCCTCATCCTTCATAGCAAAATCATTGGTTTTACTAAGGTTTTGGGCTCATTTTGGTCCTCTCAGGGGGCAGCGCTCATTTGCGCTTCTGAGGAGGTCGCCAGAGGCCCCAAGATGGCCCCAAGAGGCCCCCAGGAGGCTCCCAAGAGGCCTCCCAGAGGCCCCCAAGAGGCCCCCAAGAGGCCCCAAGAGGCCCCCAAAGAGGCCCCCAAGAGGCCCCAAGAGGCCCCAGAGGCGCCGAAGAGTGCCCCCAGGATTGCCCCCAAGAGGCCCCCCCAGAGAGGCCCCCAAGATGCCCCAAGGGCTCCAAGAGGCCCCCAATGGCCCCACGAGAGCCCGAACGACCCACACCAGACGGAGGGGCGAACGACTCACACCGACGAAGATTCCGAACGACTCACACCAGAGGAGGGGCCGCGAACGACGCACACCAGGGACGAGGCGCCCGAACGGGTCACACCCAGAGGAAGGTGCCCGTGAACGACTCGCACCAGGACGAGGTGCCCGAACGACTCACACCACGAGGAGCCCGAACGACTCACACCAGGAGGAGGGGCCCGAACGACTCACACCAGGACGAGGGGCCCGAACAACTCACACCACGAGTAGCCCGAACGACTCACACCAGGACGAAGAGCCCGAACGACTCACACCACGAAGAGCCCGAACGACTCACACCAGGAAGAAGGGCCCGAACGACTCACACCAGGACGAGAAACCCCAAACGACTCAACCACGAGGAGCGCTTTCTCTCCCTCCTCCTCCGCCTCGTCCTTCTCCCGCTCCCACCACAAGGAGGATGTACACGGAGGCGGGAGGGAGGAGTAACAGGGGAGATATGCGGGGGCAGGCGGAAACACGCCTGAAAAACACGACTGTCGGCATGCTTCGCAAGAGTTGCTGTTTTGAGATGGGCTGGTGGGGATACGCGAAGCGTAAAGAATTTCGAGGCGAATCCAGCGGTGACAACGAGGATTCCCCAGGAGGACCAGGAAAGGCCGAAAACGAAGGGGGACAACACGTATCCGTATCTTTTTCTCCCCCGAGTAGTCGCCGATTGAAAGAGAGCCCGCCACTGTAATGAAGATGCTCCAGTTTCCGAGTCAGGCCCTCTGCCTCGCCGCCTCGAGGTGCGCCGCCCAGCGCGCGCGCCAGTGCCCTATGCCCAGCTGCGCGGCGCCGCCGGGCTCCCGGACCCCGCCCAGGCACCTGCCGAGGGCCGCGGGCGACAGCGCCTCCGGACGAGGCACGCGCCGGAGAAGAAGCAGCGGCATGAGCCTGTTTTTTTTTAGACTCTGGCAAGTTTACTTGCATGGACGGGGGGGGGTGGGCTGAGCCTGAAGCAAGCCGCAAACGAACTTGCACATTCGGGGGGGGCGCGGAAGATCACGGCCAGTCGAAAGGCACTTGCCCGATGGTAGTCCTGAAGCGGGCGAGAGCGGGGGGGGGGGGGGGGGGGGGGGGGGCCGACGCCATGCAAGTAAACTTGCCCGAATCCAAAAAAAACAGGCTCCATGGCTAGGGGGCCCGCTGGCGAGCCCTACCCCTATACCCCCCACGACTTCTGAAGGGGGGAGGGTGCGCTTCGCCTCGCTCGGGAGCTCCCGAGCGAAGGGAGCGCCGCCCGCCCCCTCGGGAATCGTGGGGGGTTAGGGGCAGGGCTCGCACGTGGCCCCCTAGTGGTGCACAAACCTTTCAGAGGTCAAGGAGCCCACCCCCCAGACAGTCGGACTTGATGGGCACCTCCTCCTCCTCCTCCTCCTCCTCCTCCTCCTCCTCCTCCTCCTCCTCCGCCGGACAGGAGGAGGTGGAGGGCACGCGAGAGGACACACAAGACTCTTGCGAGGCCACAGGAGCGTGCGAAGGCACGTGTCGCGAGGCACAGGACACAAGGGTACCCTTGAGCTGGCAGGGTCGACCTACTAATCCGGGCCGCCTGTAAGAACCACCCCGACACGCGAGGCCGTCTAGGAAGCGCACCCACATGAGGAATCGAACAGGGCAGGGCTGCTCAGTAAACGCCCAGGGCCGTTTAGTGAACGCCGATTGTCGGGTCCAGGTGGTTTTTCCTTCCTTGACTTGCGCTCCGCGCGGATTTCTTGGGTCTGCGCCGGACCCCCCCCTCCCTGGCGCGCGGAGCGCGCCAGGGGCGGCGCCGGAGGCGCCGCCAGGGGCGGGCCCAGCGCGGATCCAGGAAATCCGCGCGGAACGCCTAAAGATTTATGTTTATGCCGCTTTTTCTTCTTCGAATGTAGTTTACCCGAGCTGCCTCATATGCGCGCTGGTCGAAGCGCGTGTCCTCGAACAGCCACGGCGACGAGCCTACGGAAATAGACTCCCAGGTGCGAGTGCAGTCATAACCCTTCCCTGGGGGGGATAGCACGCTCCGGTGCTCACTGAGCAACGCCATGTAGTCTGGAAACGGCAGTTTCTCGGGCACGACGCGCACCAAACTGCGGTACTCATTGCCACTCAGAGCGTTAATGAGGCGCTTCCGACCAGCAAAATGCCGCATCCAGGGAATCAACAAACGAGGATCTCGCTGAGACCATGGCACAGCCGCTTCCCGCGTCCGCTGTATCAGAGCCTCGTTGTGGCTAGACATTCGGTTGACCAGGAAGCCGACGGGCAGCGGGTAGAATACATCGTCTCGCAGGGGCCTGTGCAGATTGGTACTGTAGCAGGCCAGGAGCCCTGGGAGCTTCATGATCTCCGCCTGAACCTCAAGCGTGAGAGGACAGTCGTCGCCTGCTAGCACCAGCACGAAGGGCGCCGTCGGCTTCTGCAAAAGAAGGAAAAACGACATAAACATAAACTTTTGGCGCTCCGCGCGGACTTCTTGGATCCGCGCTGGACCACCCTCCCTGGCGCGCTTCGCGCGCCAGGGGCGGCGCCAGAGGCGCCGCCAGGAGGGGCCCAGCGCGGATCCAAGAAACCCGCGCGGAATGCCAAAGTTTATGTTTACGGCATTGTTTCTTCGTCGATTCTGGCCCACCGCCTTCAGAACACCCGGCAGAAAGCGGCGCTCGACGAAGGCCACCAGTGGCTCCGTGGCGGCCAGCAGGCCCGACGCCAGCGAGGCCACTGCCCGCGCCTTCTCCGCGACCGAGTACTTCCTGCCCGGGCGGGGCACGGCCGCCCAGAGGGGGGACTGGACCATGTAGGTCCCCGTCGAGATCAGCTTCAGTGAGCTGAGCACTCCTCGAGGCCTCCCCGATGCGGTCCGAGCAGATGGGGTCGAAGTATCGCGCCGCATCGCCAATGCATCACCGATGTGTCCGCGCTGCATCGGCGATGCACCGGCAACGTCGGTGATGCACCAGCGACGTCGGCGTGGAGAAACTCGGGCTCCGCACCGAGCCGCATCGGCAATGCATCGGCGATGCGGCGCGACCCTCCGACCCCATCTGCTCGGACCCCATCAAGGAGGCCTAGAGCTCCGTAGTCCGGCACCCCGAACGTCCAGTCGGCACCCGGCTCGCCGCCGCTGCGTGGCAGGGCGTGTCCGGCGTCTGGGGCGAGGCAGGCCACCCGCGCGCCCTCGGCGGACCCGCGGGCCTGCCCCAGCGGACGGGCGCGGGTGCCCCGCAGCCGAGGCGGCGAGGCGCACGGCGGCGGCCTTCGTGAGGAGGAGGAGGAGGAGGAGGAGGAGGAGGAGGAGGAGGAGGAGGAGGAGGAGGAGGAGGAGGAGGAGGAGGAGGAGGAGGAGGAGGAGGGGGGAGGGAGGAGGAGGAGGAGGAGGGAGAGGTGAGGAGGGGGGGGAGGGGGGGTTGGTGGGGGGGCGGGGGAGGAGTGGCGGGGGGAGGGGGGGGGGGGGGGGGGATGGGGCGGTGGGGGGGGGGGGGGCAAGGGGGGGGTGGGGGGGGGGGGGGGGGGTGGGGAAGGGGGACTGGGAGGGGTGGGTGGGAGGCGGGGTGGGGGAGGGGGAGGAGGGGCCTTCGTGGTGCCCGCGGGTGCCTCCAGAGGGCCCGGGGCGACAGGGAAGCAGCGCCCCGCGGGAGGAGCAGGGCTGCTGCTGCTCCAGGGCGGTGTGCCCTCGGAGGAGCTGGAGACGACAGCGTGCCAACGGCAAGGGCTGCACACGCCAGCTTCCGCCACGCACCGTCTGAGATATCGTGCAGCCTCGCAACTTTGTTCATGCCAACCTTGACCATGCACGACGGGCAACATAGCAAACAGTACTGCAGACGGCGACCTTAGCCAAACCTGAACCGAAATGGCCACAGAAGCTTCAATGGCCGTATGAGTGGGGAGAATTCTCAGCGCGGGCCAGTGATGTGGATTTCTGGTTCGAGTGGAGACCTGACCAGTATGCGAGATGGGAAGATCCTCTGAGGTCCCTTCAAAGCGGCGACAAGCCTCACCCCCCTGCGACTCAAGAAACAAGGCGATAAAGCGCGAAGACTGAACACATAAACATTAAATGACAACGTCACTCTGATAAACACTCCCATCTTCACCCTCATCCCCACGGCCCTCACCCGCCCTCGACTTCATTGGCATCATCCAGCGCGCTCCCGACGTGTTCCCCACCCGTCGCTTCATTCATCACCACTCCCATCGTCGTCCCTAGTCGTCCTCAGATCCGCTGCCATGCACACTTCCACTCGCACCATCACCACTCCCATGCTCGTCTCCATCTATACTCACTTTCATGACCTTCGCTCTCCATCGTCATCGCCCTCATCCCTGCGCCGACCAAGTAACACGCACGGGCGCCGTGCGTGCGTTCCCCGCAGGCTCGCGCCGCAGGGTTTCACTCCGAACGGCCATCCTCAAACCCCACCTGTGTCTTCACAAGTGGAGTCGACCTCCCGTGCTCTGTGGACCTCCAGGTCCCCCTGAGGGACTCGGAGTGCTCCAGGGTTGATGCTCAGTGTTGGGGCAAAGGTCAGGCTGACAGATCATGCCCCGCACATGCGACTCATACACTTGCCGTGCGGGACATTTGCGAAGCCACCGTGGTCAACTGCGCCCGCAACTTTACACACGCACATGTTTCAAATGCATGCTCGGGATCACGGGCTTCCGCTCACGCGATTCCATCTCGAGTCGCACACGCGCCATCTGCTGCGTGGCGAGAAGATGCTACACATTAGTGTTCTGCAGGCCCATGGGGGCCCATGCGGGAGACCCCGCGGCGTCGTGCCGCCCTGGCGGGATGTGCGTGCCAGTGGTGCCCGAACTCTGGCAGCTGCACCCTGCCCAAGCGCCGCGCACACGGCAGCTCACGCCGCACATGCCACGAAACGCAACAAGCAAGAGCTCGTCGGGCCTTGCCAGGAGCGCCCCTGGCCCAAGGCGTCCCCAAGGTTTCCGAGGCCTCCAGAGCAACCCCATCATGAGAGGCCTACAGACGGCCCCTAAGGCTCCCAAGCGGAACAAACATCTGGGGGGGGCACATTTCGCCAAGGACACCCTCAGCAAGAGCGGGCCAAGTTCTGGGCCCGTACCGTTGCGCAATATGTCAGGTTTGCACAGGAGGCGCGAAGCACGACACACGACAGCTGCAGTCGTCGTGCTACCAGAATGAGCCGCTGATGACGGAGAGCAGGGGCTTCTCTAGCCACGGCGAACCTGGCCACGTGCAGGTTGCTCGACACACGTCGAAAGAACGGCCCGAAAACCAAAGCCACTCCTGAGCCCACAGTGGCCCTTAGTTAAGCTTCTTAGCTGTGGGCAGTGGCACAGCGTCCCGACTTGCCCCTAGGCCCACCAGAGAGTGTTCACAAAAACCTTGTCTATGGTCTGCACGACCTGTTCTTAAAACGTTGCTGGCTGAGACATTGATCCATCGGCTTTGTGTTTTACAAGCGTTCGTGCTTTTGTCGGGCAAGATTGTGCTTTGAGAACATCTATGCCGTGGTAGATAGATTGGGGCCTCGAAGATGGGGTGGGAGAAGACGGGGGCGGAGAAGCATCGCAGATGCATCGGCACAGTCGCCGATGCAGCGGCGACGTCCGCGTGGATAGGATCGGGCTCCACATCGAGCCGCATCACCGATGCATCGGCGATGCGACGCGACCATCGGACCCCATCTGGCCAGACCCCACCTGGAAGGCCCAGAGCACAGGAACGTTGGGGTCCCTGTTCCTGGTGAAGCCAAATGGTACCTATACCGTGACTCCTTCGACCTCTCCCGGGGTGCGTTCTGACCAGCAGTTCGAGGCGAATCCAACCGCGGCGACGAAGGCCTCCCAGGAGGTCCCCAAAAAATAAGCGGCATGGGTTCCTTCTCCTCGTCCGAGCTCCAGGGCAGCAGGCAGACACACAACAGCAGCATGCAGCATGAGATCGGACATGCCCCCCTACAGGCGAAGTGTGGATGAAGGGTACCGCAGAATCAACAAAGAAACATAATGAGATCGGCAACCATGGTCGACAAACCGCCCCCAGGCTATGTTTGGAGCACTTCTGGGGCACTCCTCCTGCAGAGGGACACGCCCGACTCACACGCAGCAGGCAGAAAAACGCCACCGCGCCGGCGCCGGGGACGGCTGCCCCGTGAGGCTGGCAGCGCTGCTCCAGGGCTGCGCACGCCTCGTTCTTCGGCCGCGGTCGATGGAAGCTTCCCCCTCCTCCTCCCCCTCCTCCTCCTCCTCATCCTCCTCCCTCCTCCTCCTCCTCCTCTTCCTCCTCCTTCCTCCTCCTCCTCCTCCTCCTCCTCTCCTCCTCCTCCTCCCCCTCGTCCTCCTCCTCCTCCTCCTCCTCCTCCTCCTCCTCCTCCTCCTCCTCCTCCTCCTCCTCCTCCTCCCTCCTCGGCCGCGCTCCCGCGGCGCCTCGCCCGCGGCGCCGACGTCGAGCTGCAGCCCCCGCGCGGTGACGTCCACGAGCAGCACCAGGCCGTGGCCGGCGCCCGCGGGGGTCAGCCGCTGCCGCCGGCGCGCCTCTCGCGGCGAGGGCGCGCGCGCCCCTCGGGCCCCCGCAGCTCCCCAGGCAGGGAGCGGCGGCGAGCGAGGGGGGGGGAGGCGAGGAGGAGAAGGCCCGCTCTCGGCTACTCCAGATTTCGTAAGTAAAAGAGAGGGGGTCTGGACCCTCCAAGACAAGCCACTTCAGACCTCCCCCGTGGGAGAACCCTCCAAAACATCGTCCCCAGACCCCCCCCCAGGCCCTCCAAGATAGCCTGGAAGAGACCCCCCCCGAAATGAGACCCCCCTCCCTTTATTACGAAATCTGGAGTACACGCAAGAGTGGCCCTGAGTAACGCGGGATGACGATCAATTAAAAAATGAGGGGGGAACGATTAAAACAAAGAGTTCCCTGTCATTTCTGCACAAGTTTCTCACCGGCGGAGAACGATTCAAGAAACTAGCTTTCCAGCCCGCGGCCGGTTTTCTCGAATCGTCATCCCGGGCGCAGCCGCGTGAACACGACCCCCGGTCATTTATGAATCGCCATCCTCCATCAAGAGTGCCCTTTGGTGCGCGGCTGTTTGGGACCGCGGGTGGGCCACAAGGCAAGCGCGCAGGCCGCCGCTATACCGCTTCCCCTTCAGCCCTCTGGGGGGGGCCGTCCGTGCCCGCACCATAAGGGCCACTCCGGCGAGAGGTCACTCTTACGCCTGGCCGACTCTCAGGAGGCTTTTGGATACCCCCCGGCCTTCCGAGAAGCCTTCTGGAGGCCTTCCCGGAAGACCAGCAAAAAACTGATCAGCAGGCCGGATGGTTCTGAGTCGGGGATGGACAGACCCCCCTTTAGTGAAACGTGGATGAGTGAAAACGACCTGAGGCCCAAACCTGGCGGGCGCAAGCCTGGTAAAAAACGGCCACGGCGCCCTCTCGAGAATCGAAAACGGACAATTCACTAATCGACGTGTCACTGTTGGGGGTTCTGTCCAGCCCCGACTGAGAAGTCCCGCCGCCGCCTTCCGAGGAGGCCCTCTCCTGCGCACAACCCCCCCCTCGCGCGCCGCCGGAGCGAGAGAGAGCAGAGGAAGCCCCCTCGTGCTAATCCTGGGACTCTGCCTTGCAATGTTGTCACCGCGGGCGTCTTCGTCCCATTTCGGGCCCCGGGTTATGCTGCTCCCATCGTACTTGAAGACCACGTCCCAGAAATAATTTCGAGCACCCGGAAGAGTGTCGAAAGAGTGTCGACAGAGTGTCGAAACGGTGTCTCCCAGGGCCCGACACGTGGAAACCCTCGAGATTGGGGGTATTGTCTAGCGCTCGAAATTCTTTCTGATGATCAAGGCTAAAGTAGGTTGGAACATCATAAGCCCCGGGACCCTCACGAATCGATCCGGCTCGAAAAGCGACACGAGAAGATATGGGGTCCAGGACTCCGCTCGTGACGTTCTGCGATTCTGCAGCTTCGTCGCGGCGTCGGATCTCTCAGGGGGGAGCACCCCAATGCAGCGAAGCCGTTTGGTGAACGCACCCAGGGAAGGATTCGAGCAGGGCAGGGCTGTTTACAGAAACTTCGGAGCCCGACCACGAGAAGCCTTCCACAAGAAGCCCAACCCTGAGACCCAAGGACGCCCAATGGATTTTCCGTGTGGGCACGTCACGTCCTTCATCGCAGAACCATCGAAACCCAAGAAAGCAAGGGCACCCTGGAGGCGAGCAGGGTGTCTCTTGGCATGGGTTCCCACAAGAGGAATATTCAAAAACAGTAGAAATAGTCTGGGACCCCACTGCAGTAAACGCCCATGGCCGTCTGGTAAACGCAAATGCCGGCGGGGGGGTCGGGCTTCTTTCTTCCTCCTCCCCTGGCCCAGTGTGTTTCCGAAGAGCTGTGATTGCCAAGTCTGGGTTTTTCTTCTCCCCATGTCGGTCTCTGGGATATAATGTTGCTCTCATCGTGCTTACGGACCGACTCCCCGAACTCATTTCGAGCACCCAGAAAAGCATCGAAACAGTGTCGGACAGCGTCGCCTCCCAAGGCCCGACACGTGAAAGCCCTCAAGGCTCGACTTTCTTGGTGCTCGAATTTTGTACAGGTGCTCAAAGCTAAAGGAGGTCGGAACATCACAACTTTGGAGTCCCGAACCGGTGCGGTGACGGACCATGCGGTGACCTCGAAATCCCCCCAGACCTCACCGCACGGTCCGTCACCGCACGATTTTGGGACCCCAGAGGTCCCTGTCGCGCGAGACGTCCTCGGAGAGGGACTCGAGTCCCAAAACCGTGCGGTGACCCCGAATCCCCACCGACTCACCGCACGGTGTGGTCACCGCCCCGTTTGGGGGCCCCCGAATAACTCTGGGACCTGTTATCAGGCCCCGGGGCCATCAAGACTGGACCTGGGAAGGGGTCCGGACAGCCCTGGGGCCGCGGATGGACGACAACCACACCCTGGAGGATGTCTGGGTCGCGCCCCCCTCGGCCGCTCGCCAACACCTCCCTCGGCCAGAGCAGCTCGCGCCCCGCGCCACGCGAGACGCGTTGAGCCTCCCTCGATCCTCCGCACCGCCGCTTCCCTCGGCCACCCCACCAGCACCTCCCTGCGCCAGCCCAACGTGATGCTCCGCGCCGCGCGAGGCGCGCCCGTCCTCGCTCGAACCTCCGCACCGCTGCTTCCCTCGGCCACCAGCCAGCACCTCCCTGGGTCAACACCACGTCGCGCTCCGCGCCGCGCGAAGCGCGCCTGCCCTCCCTCGAACCTCGACCCTCCCTCCGCCCCTTGGGCGCTGGATCCACGGCTCTGGGAAGGCCCCCCCCGAATCCTGAGCCCAATGCCGCTTGATTTTTGGCGACGAGGCGCGCCGAGTCTGCGCACAGAAACGGGACCCGTCGCCAATCCGCGCGCCCGAGTCCGTGATAGCGCTATCTCGACCAGCAACCTCCCTTGGCCAACGCGACTTCGCGCTCCACCTGCCCCGGGAGGACAACTGCCCAGCCCAGACCGCGAAGCGCGATCACGGCCGCGCCGCTGCGGGTGACCTGGCACCCACGCCTGCCTCCTCCTCCGTGAGCGAGCCGCTTCAAGGATGCGGATCCCTCCTTCCGCCGCCTCCCGCTCTCTCCCTTCTGCCGCGTGCTGCTGCTGCTGCTGCTGCTGCTGCTGCTGCTGCTGCTGCTCCTCACTCGCTCGCCGCCTCCTCCTCCTCCTCCTCCTCCTCCTCCTCCTCCTCCTCCTCCTCCTCCTCCTCCTCCTCCTCCTCCTCCTCCTCCTCCTCCTCCTCCTCCTCCTCGCCTCTCCTCCTCCGCCTCCTCCTCCTCCTCCTCCTCCTCTCCTCCTCCTCCTCCTCCTCCTCCTCCTCCTCCTCCTCCTCCTCCTCCTCCTCCTCCTCCTCCTCCTCCTCCCTCCTCCTCCTCCTCCTCCTCCTCCTCCTCCTCCTCCTCCTCCTCCTCCTCCTCCTCCTCCTCCTCCTCCTCCTCCTCCTCCTCCTCTCCTCCCTCCTCCTCCTCCTCCTCCTCCTCCTCCTCCTCCTCCTCCTCCTCCCCAATGGTCACGACAAGTCTTCGTGCCTCTTCCTCCTCGGCCCTCCCTCTCCGTCCTCGCCGTGGTCGGCGCCCCTCGCAAGTCAGGGGGGGAGACCCCCCCCCTGACTTGCGAGGGGGGACGGGAAACGACGACGGCGAGACGGCGAGCGCCGGCGCTGGCGCAGGAGCCGTCGGGCAGCGACGAGAACGACGACGGCCACGACGACCACGACGCCCACGACGACGACGCCGACGACGACGACGCTGACGCTGACGCCGACGCCGACGCCGACGCCGACGCCGACACCGACGCCGACGCCGACGCCCACGCCGACGACGCCGACGGATCCAGTGATCGCATTCAATGAAATCACTTTTGGTGCGTGGTTTTTGCGGACCGCGGGGGGACCAAACACAAGCGCGCAAGACGCCACTGCCGCAAGCATCGCGTTCGGTGAGCGGGGGGAGCCCAGTGGGCCCGCACCAGAGGTCACTGCGGCGAAGGGTCGCTGTTTTGCGGGCACAGCCGACTTCTCTCCCCGCGGCGCCGCGACCTTTTTCGTGCCACGAAGCCGGATGCCTCGAGAGGCGGAGGCGAGGGTGGTGGAAGGAGAAGGGAGGGAAGCGAACTTATGATTCTTTCAGTACGTCGAACTCCAATTATCTGGACCCCTTTCCCAGGACTGTCTTTTCATCCCGAGTCGTTTTGTTGACGATCCCGAGGCCCTGTGAGGGCCCCTGGAGGCCGAAAATAATAGGGGGCAAACAAACCGACCTCGCTTTTGACCACCCTCGCTTCCAAGAGATACCAAGCGATGCCAAACTACGGCCTGTACTGGTCAGGCCGCTTGACGAGGAGGCGCGTGGCATGACCTGGCTTTGCCTGGAAGCGAAAGCAGGGTAGGTAATTCACGCTCTGAAATAATGGAAAGCGTCCCGTCGTGATGTCTTCACAACGCGAGGGGGTCTGGGAGGGGGGAGGGGAAGGAGAAGGCGAGGGGAGGAGGCCTCGAGGTCCACGAAGCGGCCCAGCGCGGAGAGCTCCGGCGCCTCCAGCGCGAGGCCCGTCACGGCGCTGAAGAGCGGCAGCAGCACCTGCCGCGTCGGGAGCTTCGGCTCTTAGCGTAGGGGGGGGAGGAGGAGGAGGAGGAGGAGGAGGAGGAGGAGGAGGAGGAGGAGGAGGAGGAGGAGGAGGAGGAGGATGCGGAGGATGCGGAGGGAGGAGGAGGGGGAGGAGAGGAGGGAGGAGGAGGAGGAGGAGGAGGAGGAGAGGAGGAGGAGGAGGAGGAGGAGGAGGAGGAGGAGGAGGGAAGGAGGAGGAGCAGACGCGGGCGAAGGCTGGCTGCTAAAACGGAGCTCTGGGAAATGGTGATCTGTTCTTCCGGGAGGCAGCCCGTGTACCATTTGGCACGCGGAGCTCTAGTCCGGGCATGTTTGGGCGCCCGAGTTGTCCGGGGTAACTCGGGTCCAGGGTAACTCGGGCTTGGATTCCCGAAAGAGGAACCCGAGTTAGCCCTGACCCGAGTTACCCCTGATGATTCGGGGCTCTGGACGCCCGAGTTGTCCGGGGTAACTCGGGTCCGGGGTAACTCGGGTTTGGATTCCCGAACAACGAACCCGAGTTAGCCCTGACCCGAGTTACCCCTGATGATGCGGGGCCCTGACATGTGTTTATGAAGACCGTTCTAGCAGACACGGATTTGCCAGCCCTCGCCCGGCTTCCGAGCCGTGCAGCATCCTGGAAGATCCTGCACCCAAGCCCGGGTCAATACAACAAAATCTGCAGGGCCCTGCACCCGGGCCCGGGTCAGCGCGACCCTGCGCCCTGCAGGATCCCGCAGGATCCGGCGCTCTGGCCGACCCCCGTTTACTTTGACCCCCGTATCTTGAGCCCCGATAGCGTGCCGCAGTGGCGGCCCAGGCGACAAGCCGTGCCTGCGAGCATGGACCGGCCGTCCCAGCACTCCGATAGGCCTACCACGACGTGCTCCTTAGAACAAAAGCAAAAGGACGTCAAACTAACAGAAAAACATGCCCTTAGGTCATATGCCGTTTGCTCAAGACATGACGGTTTCAGCCAGAACTGTTCTAAGCACATCTCGTGCAGATCATAACAAGAACGTTCTTTGGTGGGCCTTCAGGCGAGTCAGGACGCTTCGCCACTGCTTGATGATAGCGTGTCGCTCCGCTCCGCGGAACGGGAGGCTGGGAGAGGCTCGGAACGAGGACGTTCGGAGAATCAACAGCGTGTCGCGCCGGAGCGTGGTGGGCCAGAGCCAGCGGAGAGCGACACGCTATCCAGAAGTTCCAAACCGCACAAGAAACATAAACTGTTGGAGGCCCGCGCGAAGTAGTTCGTGGATCTGCGCTGGACACCTCTCACTGGCGCGCGGAGCACGCCAAGGTCGGCGCCGGAGTTCCGTAAGCTTACGCTCATGCCGTGCTGTCTTCATCTGAGCTGAGGGACAGCTATAGGGGGGACTGGCATAATTAGGGGGGGATGCATCGACCTGGAATCGACGATACATCGTCGACAGATCGGCGACAGGCCTCCGATCGCGAGTCCGCACGCTCCAGGGCAGCTTGGGGCCATCGGGCCCCCATCGGCGATCAATGGGCGCTTGGGGACCGACGCATCCCTCCCTGCGCCTATCCCCGCGACGTTGCCCCTACAGTCGGGGCGTTGACCTAAGGAACCCTGAATAAGGAACGAGGCTCCTATTTTCCACAAGTCAAGCTTCGATGTCCCATCGAAAACATAAGGAAAACCTGAGGCAAGCTGTGAAACTATCAAGGAACACCGAGCCCCTCCCCAACGAAAAGGGTTCCTTTTTCAGCGCCTCGACTGTAGTGGTTTTCGGGCCACAGCTCGGGCACCTGGCGGCCGCTCGGCACGACCCGGGCACCCCCGGAACGCTGTCGGCGAGGCGCAGCTGCCAGCGGCGACGACCCCGAGGCCCGCAGACCGCCGAGGACCGACGAGACAGCGCCAGAGAACCTCCGCCGATCGACCCCGATATCGTTGCCTGCCCCCCCCCCCCCAATCGTTGCCCCGGTCGCTGCCCCCGGTGAGCACCGCGCGCGTCTCGGCCGCCACGTTGCGGGCCACGTCCTCTGATGGGCCTGATTTCCACCACCACCGCCATAGGTCGGAGGGGGGCAGGAGGAGGAGGAGGAGGAGGAGGAGGAGGAGGAGGAGGAGGAGGAGGAGGAGGAGGAGGAGGACCCCCTCCTCTCCCTCCAACTTCTGGTGGTGGTGGTGGAAAACAAGGCAACAAGGCCATCGTCCTCCGCCCGCACACGGAAGCCGCCCTCCGCCCCGCCCGGCGGGTCGAAGCGCCGCACGCGCCAGGGCCCGAGGGCCGGCAGCCAGGCCTCGGGGCACGCCCCCACGAGCAGCACCTCCGCGGGCGGGCCGGGGCCGGCGCCCTCGCCCGGCTCGCGCGCGGCCACGCCCTCCTTGGGGGGGGGGGGGGGTCGCAAACAACGCACCGAACCCTCCCACTCCCCAGAAGTGCTCCTCCTCCTCTCCTCCCTCCTCCTGCTCCTCCTCCTCTCTCCCTCGCCTGCCTTCCTCCTCCTCCTCCTCCTCCTCCTCCTCCTCCTCCTCCCCTCCTCCTCCTCCCTCCTCCTCCTCCTCCTCCTCCCCCTCCTCCCCCTCCTCCCCCCCTCCTCCTCCCCCTCCTCCTCCTCCTCCGGGCCTCCGGGCCGTCGGCTGCGACCTCGGCGAGCGGCGGCGGCGCATGCAGCTCGCCGCCTCCGCCGCCCACATCCGCGGCGGCGCTGCCGCCAGCTCCGCCCGCGGGCGTGCCGCGGGCCGGCGCGGGCTCCGGGGGCGCCAGCAGCCCGCGCAGCAGGTGGCGCAGCGCTGCGCAGGGGCCCTCCAGGACGAAGACGCCGTCGGGCGTTAGGTCCAGGCCCTCCGCCTGGGAGGAGGAGCGTTCGGGGCGCCCAGTGGGCATACGATGGCCATGCTTTTGGGTCTGCGGGTCGAGAGCGAGCCTCTTCCGGATAAGAGCTAGGCGGGGCGCGCAACGCACTAATTGGGGAGACAGGGCGCGGGCGGGCGGGGCCTCAGGCGGCCGGGCGACAGCCATGCATGCCCAGGCCCTCTCGCGCTGTGAGAGAAATCGCGACGGGAGGCTCGTCGCTCGACGGGGGCACGCGACAGCCATGGAGCCTGACGGAGCCATGGGATTCGCGTGTCCACACTAGCGAACGTCGACGCAGTCCTCGACAAGGGAGTCCTGATGAGGGGAAGCCTGGACGGAAGGAGGAACAACTTCGCCCCGAAGGGAGGGGCGGGGGGGCAGGCGGTGAAGAGCTAGCCGTCCAACCTGGAGGGAGGCGCATCGACCTGGAGCCGGCGATGCACCGCCGGTAGATCGGCGATGGGCGCCCCCGGCCGCGAGCCCGCACGGTCTGGGCGGGGTGGGGCTCGATGCATCCCTCTCTGAGCCTATTCTAGAGTTACCAGCCTGGAGCATATGCCTATCCCTGTGATCGGCATCGCCTCATCTCGATGCCGATCGTCAGGATGCCCTCAGCTTCTGAGGGCGCACCCCTAAGATTGCCATCGCCTTGTGGCTTGCCAATCTCAGGGATAGGGATGAGCGCAAGGCTGGGTTATGAAGGGCAGGAAATCCTCCCCCCCATACTCATCGTCTGGACACGCGGAGCCGTCTGGCAAACGCACCGACAGAAGGAGTCGACCATGGGCAGGGCTGCCCAGGAAGCGCCCAGGACCGTTTATAGCAGACGCCACTTATCGGGCCTGGGTGGTCTTGCCTCCCTTGATATCCCCCCCCCCCCTCCCCCTCGCGGTGCCCCTGGGCCTGGCTTAAGGAGCCCGCCAGCCGCTCGCGCAGCCCTCGCAGCCCGGCCGGCGGCGGCGAGCACGCGAAGCCCGCGTCGGGGTCCTGCTGCAGCGCGCGCGCGAGGCACTCCGCGGCCACCTCGGCCGAGACGAGGCCGGTGCTCACCCCGGGCGCCTCCCCGAGAGGCCCGCCGAGGAGCTCGCCGAGGAGCGCGGTGCCGGCGGCGGTGCCGGTGGCCGCGCTGTGCCCCCAGCAAGCGCCTGAGCGACGGTCAAAAACGGGTCTCACGCGAGATGGCACGGCGACCTTACTCGACATCCCTTTCTCACCGCCCCCCCCCTAAAACACCGGACCCCCCCTTCAATGGCAAGCTAGTTTTCCGGACCCCTCCGTCGACGGGGGGCCTCGATGTTCCAGACCCCCCTCGTCTTCGGTTTGATGAAACCGCCCTAATGGACCGGACCCCCCCGCTTGGAAAAAAACGCCTTAAAAAATCAGATCAAGGGGACGATTATCAGGGGATTTCGAATATGCCGGGGCCTACGCGGGCCGCCGGCGCGGCACGCTTCATTGGAGACGGGGACGCTTACGCGCGACCCTACGCGGGCAGCTTACGCGCCGATGTCGGCGCAGACGACCCCGTTTTGGTGCGTCGCCCACCTGTCCCCAAGCCGCCGGCCTCGAACGACGCGGCCAGGTGATCCTGCAGCCGCAGCGGCAGGCTCGCCTCCGTCGCCGCTGCCGCGTCGCTGGCCCACCGCTGGCTCGTGGCGTCTGCCGGCTGACTGCGGCGGCTGCCTCGAGGGGATCGGTACGCCAGCTCGGCGCCATCGTCGCTCGGCTGGCCGCAGAGCGCTGCTGAGGCTGCCAGCGCCAGCGCACGTTCGGCGGCCTCCCAGCTGCCCGCGCGGGCGGCGGTGAGCATCACGGCGCTCGCCAGGAGCGTGAGCCGCCCCTCCGAGGGCACGGACGCGAGCCTCTCGACGAGGTCGTCCAGCAGCCTGCAGGCGGCCGCCTGCGCAGCGGGGCCATGGAGCGCAGCCGCGGCGGCCGATGCTGAGGCCACCTGGGCGACAAAACAAAAAAACATCTAGCACAAAATACCACTCACACAATGACTTACACGGGCCGCCTGCGCGGCACGCCGCGTTGTGGGCGAGGACGCTTACGCGCGACCTCACGCAGGCAGCTTGCGCGCTGAAGTCGGTGAAGACGACCCCCTTCTTCGGCGTCGCTCGCCTGCGTGCTTGCCAGAGGCTGGGCATGCGCTTGCAGAGCAGTCGGGTCGGCCAGAGGCGACTCGTGAAGGAAGTGCCCCGTCGCGCGGAGGAGGGCGCCAGAGACATCCCGCGGGCGGAGCTCGCGCCAGCGCGCCGCCACGTGCAGGTCGGGGCGGACGAGAACAACGGTGCCTGGGCGCGCGTCAAGCGCCCGAACCGCGCTCCCCTCCCGGTCTGCCATGAGGCGCACGCCGATGCGCCGCGCCAGCCCGACGGCGGTAGCGTGCTCTTCGGACATTCTCTCCAGCGCGGATGCATCCAAAACAACAACGACCCTGCGCAGCAGCTCCGTCGTCATCTGCGTCCGTGGGCGGTCGATGAGCTTGAGCGCCTCCCAAGGGATGTCCCCCACGGTCATCGCAAAGAACACGGCTGTGAAGAACGCCCCAGTGTGCCTCAGCAGAAAAGTGGGGCCCTGCCGCGACGATTCCTGCGACTCCCCGTCGAGCATGGCGTGCAGGTCCTCCACGGCGCAGTCGGCGAGCCTTAGCTGCTCCGATACGCAACACGCAACACGTAGCGTACGGATACGGAGCCCCACACGTAGACCGAACACGCAGGCCAGACGCGAGATGCTCGCCAAGCCTTGGTCAGATACGCGGAGCCAACACGCAACGGATTGACACGGACGTCTCGAACACGGGACGCGTTGCGCCTCGCAACGGGCGCATCGAGGCACCTAAGCGGCGAGCACGTCCCCAGGCCCGGGCGCCCCGGCCTGGAACTGTGCCCCGGACGGCCCGCCGTGGCGGGCCTCGTCCGGCAGCAGCAGCGGCGAGCCCGAGCGCAGCGAGCAGCACGGGAGCGCCCCGCAGTCCGCGAGGAGCGCCGCGCCCAGCTCCTGCTCAGACGACAACATCGGGTGAGGGCAACATCGAGCATCTCTGAGACCTGGCGGTTCTGGAGGATGCCTCGGGCGCCGCGGCCTTCTCAGAGCGTTCCGGAACGCTCTGATCGGGTCGGGCGAAAGGGAGGGATAGCAAAGGGGGGGGGTGAGAATCTGCTCGCGTAGCTGATTTTCCCGGAATTGACCCCTCGGTGAGGCCGAAACCAGCTGCATGCAGCAAATTTCGTAACCCCCCTTTCCCAATCCCCCCCTTTCGCCCGGCCCGATCTGAGAGCGCTCCAGGAGGCTCTGGAAGGGACTTATATCCTCGTCCGACAACCCCCCCGACATTACACGCAAGTTTGTAGTGGTGGTCGACGCGCGACACGCGGCCCACGACGGGGTCCGAGCTCTGTGTTTCTTGGGCGCCCGAGTTATCCGGGGTAACTCGGGCCCGGGGTAGCTCGAGTTTGGATTCCCGAAGAACGAACCCGAGTTAGCCCTGACCCGAATTATCCCTGATGATTTCTGGACGCCCGAATTCTCCGGGGCCAGCTCGGGCCCGGGGCAACTCGGGTTCGGATTCCCGAAAAAAACGAACCCGAGTTAGCCCTGACCCGAGTTGCCCCGCATGCTTCGGGCCTCTGAGGTTCTGCCGTCGCCCAAAATGCCGGCGCGGACGCGGAAGTGCTGCGAGGCCCGGGGGGGCCCCGCCACGCCGCGGGAAGAACGCGCGCTTGGCCTTCGAGGGGGGGGGCCCAGACCCCCGACGTGTCAGGGCTTCTTTCGCAGCGCCGACCCTCCAAGGCCTCGACCTATCTTGAAGTCGGGCCTGTCCCCCCACAGGGGGATGCTCGACGAAAAATTAAGAATATACACCAGAAATGCACCAAAACGCCAAAACACATAGTCAAAAAATAATCCCCAGATCATTTCTGGACCATTTTGTGACTAGTTTTGGGGTATCTTGTATTCTTCGTCGAAAATCCCCCTGTAGGGGGACAGGCCCGACTTAAGACCTATATGCCCCTGGGCCAATCGTTCCTCCCGAGTCGCTTTTCGACGGCCCCCGAGGGCCGGTAGGAAGGCCTCCGGGAGGCCGAGCGCGCGGCAGGCCCTCCCACCATGATGCTCTTCGTTGCCCGAAGGGGGCCCCCTGAGATTTGAACAGGGACCGACCGTCCCGACAATCCTATAGTCATACCACGGAAGTGTTCTTAGAACCCAAAACTGTTCTAAGAACAGAAACACTGTTCTTAGAACATAAGCCCGATGTGCTAAAACAAGACAGTCTCAGCCTGAAAGGTTCTAAGAACATTGCGTGGGAGCCACAAAAGGTTCTTAGAACATTCTTTGGTGGGGCTATAAGCGAGCCGGGACGCTTCGCCACTGCTTGAGAGATCCGACGCTGCAAAAAAAGTGCGGCATCGCAAACAGGCACGCCCAGAGCCCTCGGCCGCAGCTTCTGCGTCGTTCCTCGAGCCGGATCGATCCTGGGAGGGCCCCGGGGCCCGCAGTGGAGAGCTGAAGCCCCCGCTGCGCAAAAACACTGCAGCGCCAGGACCTCAGGCTCCCGGGGATGCCGCCCCGCCCGGCCTGCCCCGAGCGCAGCAGCGACAGGGCCGCCAGCCGCACCTCGCGCTGCGCCGCGGCCGCCGGCGCCAGCAGGCGCTCGCCGCGCCGGCGGGCGGCCGCGTCGGCGGCCCGGGCGGCCTCGCGCTCGCGCGGGTAGGTCTCCAGCAGGGCGGCGGGGGCCCCCTGCAGGAGCACCAGGGCCAGCTTCCAGGCCAGGTTCGCCGCGTCCTGTGGCTGCCTATGCCAAGACCGCCCCAGCCACGGAGGAGGAGGAGGAGGACGACGACGAGGAGGAGGGAGGAGGAGGAGGAGGAGGAGGAGGAGGAGGAGGAGGAGGAGGAGGAGGAGGGAGGAGGAGGGAGGAGGAGGAGGAGGAGGAGGAGGAGGAGGAGGGGGTGGGCTTGAGATGTGCTTTTGCTCGGTATTCCCCGACCCCCCCGCCACTGGAAATGGAGGGCAGATCGGAGCATTCGGGTTGGGTTGGGGCGGTTTGGTGGGCGGTGGTCCTGGACCGCCAGGTTCCCCGCCGCGCCTTCGGTGGCAGCTCATGGTGGGGGCCTCCCGTATACCCTCACGTCGGCGCTCGCGAATCGAGCATCGACGCGAACCGACGCCACATCGACGCTGATCGACGCTAGCCGACGCTCAATCGGCGCTACAGGCCTCGGAAAAAAAAAGCGAACACGCATGCCGCATTCATCGCTCAACGCCTCCCCCTCCCCCCAATGTTCACACTTGGCGGTGCGTCTGATGAGCTCCTCCTCGACCGCAGCCTCCTCCGCGCGTGCCAACTTAGAGCTTGGTGGAGGGGGGGAGCGCCCACGAACTGCTTTCCCCCCACCGCAGCTCCCCGACTCCAGGCGCCGATCGAGGCTGCGATCGACGCTGGAGACAGAAATTGTTAAAAAGGTATATAGCAGGCTCCCACGCTTTGCTGCCGAGCGCGCCCCCGAAGGGGCTCGTCACCGCGAGCGCCTCGCCGCACAGGTAGACGCGGGGGCCCTGCGAGGCGCGGTGCGCGGCTCCGGCGCGGAACTGCTGCGCCACGCTGCCGCGGACGGCCCGCGCCGCCCCCTCGCCGAGCACTCCCCGGGCGAGGTCCTCGGCGGCCCTGTCCGTGGACACCTCTCGGGCGCGGCCTCGCCGACCTCCAGCCACCCATCCCCTTCCTCCTCCTCCTCCTCCTCCTCCTCCTCCTCCTCCTCCTCCTCCTCCTCCTCCTCCTCCTCCTCCTCCTCCCGCGACGTCATCCGTCATCCCTCGAAGGACGGGGACGGTTCGTGGATGGCTTGCCAGGGGTCGGTCAGGCCGCCCCTGAACCTTGTGCAGGTCGACCCCCGCGGGCAAGATGGCATCGAGCCGGATGAGCCCGTCGGGGTGCGACCGCTGCGACACGGAGAGCCAGGACATGGTGTCCACGGCGTGGTCGACCACTCCCTCTGCGCGCGAGGCGAGCAGCAGTCGGCGGTCCGCGCGGGCCGTGCCGTCGCGGAGCTCCAGGTCCACGGACAGCACCGTCTGTGTCACTCTGTCAGAGGGTGCTGGGTTGGGCGTGGTCTCCCCTAGCGCCAGGCGCAGCTTTGCGGCAGCGTTACAGATCACGACGTAGCTAGACTTCAACTCATGGCTGGCTGGCTTGCCGTTGGCCCCGGGCGATGTGCACTGCAGCGCGACGCCCTCCTCGTCGGCGCTGACGCCCTCCACGGTGCAGCACCACCGCATGTCCACTAGGCCGGCAGGCAGCGCCGCCAGCGCATCGTGCAGGATTCGCTCCACACGGTACTGCTGCAAGTGTACGGCCACCGGGGCCACGAGGCACTCTCGCCGCTCCTGGAAGAACAACAACCCACACGCATCGGAGGTTTGGGGGGTGAGATCTAGACTAAAGCAACAGCGCTTGCTGACGCTGCTGGTAGACGAAGAAGGCGGGTTTCACCCCCCACCGACCTCCACAATGAGGGGGGGTCCGGGAAGCCCCCCCCCCGCACCCCGGCAAATTCTTGGGGGGCGCCCAGAAAGCCCACCCGCCCCGGCGGCGGCGGCGACGGCGGTGGCGGCGGCGGCGGCGGTGGACGTGATCGAATTGGTATCTGGCTCTGGCCTGTGGTGGATAATTTTTGCTTGGAACTCCGACCTGGGCCGTGGTGGCGACGACGACGACGACGACGACCACGACGATGACCGCCACAACGACGACGGCAACGGTGACCACGACGACGACGACGACGACGACGGCGGCGACGACGACGGCGGCGGCGGCGGCGACAACGGTGGCGCGGCGGCGGTGGTAGACGTGATCAAATTGGTGTCTGGCACTGGCCCGTGGTGGATGTGACCTACTTGGAACTCCAGTCTGGGCCGTGGTGGCGACGATAACGACGACGACGACGGCGACGGCGACGACGACGACGACGACGCCAACGGCGGCGGCGGCGACGGCCGTGGTAGACGTGATCGACTTGAGGTCTGCCTCTGGCCCGTAGTGGATGTGGTCTGGGCAGTGGTGGCGACGACGACGACGACGACGACGACGACAGCGGCAACGGCGGCGGCGACGGCTGTGGTGGACATGACCTACTTGGAGACTGGCTCTGGCCCGTGGTGGATGTGACCGAATTGGGATTTTGGTGTGGAACGTGGCGGCGACGACGACGACGACGACGACGACGACGACGACGACGACGACGACGACGACGGCGGCGGCGGCGGCGGCGGCGGCGACGGCGCCGACGGGTTGGGGGGGGTTCCTTACCCCCCCTCCTCCCTTGCGCGCCGTGGGGTGGGGTTTTTGTACCTCTTCGTTGGGTGGGGGTTAGAGCGGGGGGGGGGGAGCTTAGAGCTGGATTGGAGCTGGTCAAACGGTGAGCATCTCCCCATGGATCTGCTTCCGCGGGCTCCCTGGCCACTTCGGGCCGCCCCCGAGGCGAGACCAGAGAGCCTTCTGCGCCCTGCCCAAGAAGTGACCTCACATGGGGCTGGGGAGCGGGGGAGGGCGGGGAGGGGGTTCGTTATGTATCCCCCCCTCCCCCCTCGGCGCGCCGGGTGGTGGGAGTTTTGTACCTCTCGTTTTTGGGGATTCGTAGGGTGTGGGGAGGGCCGGGGAGGGCGGGGCCTCCCAGTCTCTGAGGCCCCCTCTTTGGAATTCTGTTCGGGGGAGCGGGGGTGGGACCACCTGGCCCCTGACCCCCTCCTACGGAAATTGGACGGGCCAGCGACGGGGTAGATCGCGCTCCCGCCTCTGATGAAACGGACCCCCCCCCCGGGGAGATCGGATGCGGCTCCGTGCTCGTGTCGCGCGTGCGGGCGCGGCGGAGCCACGTGCGCGGGCCAGAGGAGCAGTCCCGCCGCTGCAGGTGCGAAGTCCGAGCAAACGACTCTTCTCCATCCGCTTCCCGTTCATCGGAGGTGGGCCCGCAGTTGTCCCGATAGTTATCCCGATGGTTGTCCCGACGGCTTTCCCAGTGGTTGTCCCAGTGGTTGCCCCGATGGTTTCCCCGACGGTTGTCCAGGTGGTTGTCCCGATGTTTGTCCTGGCAGTTGCCTCGGTGGTTGTCCCGATGCTTGTCCCGATGGTTGTGCCGATGCTTGTCCCGATGGTTGTCCCGATGGCAATTCGGATGGTTGTCCCGATGGTTGTCCCGATAATTGTCCTGGCAGTTGTCCGGATGGTTGACCCGATGGTAGATTCATTGATGGCGAGATCGATCTATATACATTTATATATATAGATGTATATATATATGGATGCTCCCGTTTTCCTGCCCTGCACGCGCAACGGTCTCCTTCCACGCCAGACCAACCTAACGGATCAAGGGTTCAACGTCGCAGCGTAGCAAGCCGGTGACAACTGGTATATGTACATATATATATACAGACAGTGGGCGAGAACGAGGCCGCTAGATTGATACACTGATCCATATCTGGATAGCGATATCGGTTGATAGACAATGAATTTGACACGCTTATGGTGAGGTTGGTAGATGGACTGTGATGTGGCTACGCACAAGAATACATACATACATACATACATACATACAGACAGACAGACAGACAGACAGACAGACATACATACATACATACATACATACATACATACATACACACATACATACATACATACATACATACATACATCCATCCATCCATCCATCCATCCATACATACATACATACATACATACATACAGACAGACAGACACACAGACAGACATGCATACACACATGCATACATACACACATACATACATACATACACACATACATACATACATACATAAATACATACATACATACATACATACATACATACATACATACAGATATGTAATTATATGTATGGAGGGGCTAGCGAGAAACTGTTCCAAACACCAATAGAGGTTGGTCGAGTGATGGAATATGTTGTCTCGAGGTTGTCCCGTCGTTGCTTCCCCCCCCCAACTTCCTTGGTCGGGGACGCCTGTCCCTGGGCGGCCGGGAAGTTCCCCCCCCCTCTCCTTATAAGGAGACGCGAGGGTACCGATACCGCTACTCCCTGAGAAAACAAAATAATCTGTTCCGAGATCGGAGACGCCTGTCTTGGAATCTCAACCCACACCTGCCCTTACGAAGAGACAAAAGGGTACCAGTACCGCTAGTCCTGGACCCATCCAAGGGTGCGTCCTGACCAGAATTTCGAGGCGAATACAGCCGTGGTGACGATTGAAGGGCAGCGGTACGGGTATCTCTTATAGTTCTGACGCATTTGAACCACCGATCCTCCACCTCCATCTCTGCCGCCAGCACCGGCTCCCTGTCGCCTGGCCCCACGAGCAGCAGCTCCTGCAGGTGGCGACATCCGAACCCTGCCCCCGCCAAGCATCGATCATCCGGAGTCGATGGGAGGTAGGGGCGTAGGATTCGAATTTCGTGTTCGGGAAATCGAAAAACTCGGAACCCGAATGGCCCCGGAAACGGCAAGGCCGTTTTTCACTGCTTCCAAAAAAAAA